CAGAAATTATAGAAGCCCAATGGATTCCTAATGGAATAAATTAAAGTGACGTGTACCTGGATACATCAAAGTAAAAGTATGGAACACCAAAGAAGAAGATCTTGAAAGTAGCCAGAGATAAGAGACCTTCAAAAGACAGATGAATAGACTTGTAGCTGACTTCTCACCACAAAATAGAAGCCAAGTGACGATGCAATAACAGCTTTGATGGACTGAGAGGAAATAACTGTCAACCTGAGACTGTGTACCCAGAAAAAATATTTTTCAACAACAAGGATGAAATAAATGCACTTTCAGGCTAATAAAAACTGAGATTTTTCTTCTCTAAAGGAAATTCCAAAGAATATACTTCAGACAGAAGGAAACAATCCCAGAAGGAAGATCTGACATGCCAAAAGGAATGAAGAGGCAAGATGTTTGCAATTATGCGGGTAAATATAAATGAATGGGCTTAAAAAGTCAGATAATAGACCTGGAAAAATATCTGCGGTATATATAACAGGCAAAGAATATATGCAAATCTAGGATATATACACAATCCTACAAATCCTGGGTGGGCAAAACATTAAAAATCTGCTCCTAACAAACATTAGTAAGAATATGGGAGCAGGGCAAACTCCCACTGTTAGCTGGAGGAAACCTACAGTGACACAAGCACTCCAGAGAGTGATTTGGTAATAACTTGTAAAGTTGAAAATGTGATTATCTTATAACCCAGTAATTCCATTTTAGGTATATTTCTTAGAAAACTTCTCACATTCTGTCTAAGGAGGCACGTATAAGCATGTTCATTGCAAAGTTAGCACACACACACAAAAACACTGGAAATGATTTAAATGTCCATAAATAGGGGAATGGAAAATACAGTGTGTAATTTCCATGGGATAGAATACTCTACAGCAATTAAGATGAATGAATTTTATCTGTATGTACCAAACATGGCGAGATCTTCAAAAACACAATATGGAGTTTAAAAATCAAACTGAAGGATGATAAATTCAGTGTGAGATATATATCTTTTTTCTTAACAGTGATATATATATATATATATATATATATATATATTTATTTTTTTTTTTTTTTATATATATTTTTTTTTTTTTTTTTTGCAGTACACGGGCCTCTCACTGTTGTGGCCTCTCCCGTTGCAGAGCACAGGCTCCGGACACACAGGCTCAGCGGCCATGGCTCACGGGCCCGGCCGCTCCGTGGCATGTGGGATCTTCCCGGACCGGGGCACGAACCCGCATCCCCTGCATCGGCAGGCGGACTCTCAACCACTGCGCCACCAGGGAAGCCCTCCACTGTTGGCTTTTAAGAAGCAAGCTGCCATCAATTCCATGCCTCAAGAAAATGAATTCTACCAACAACCTATGAAGGGAATAAAACAAGACGATGGGATGGAGAAAAAAAGGGGGGAACCACTGAGGTACAGGGGTCAGGTGAGTCTCCGCCACAATGCCAACGTCTTTGCTGAGATGAGGGGGAGCCAGCCCCATGAGGAGCCAGAGGTGGTGGGTGCAGGTAGAGGTAAACAGATCAGCAAGTGCAAAGGTCCTGGGGTTAGAATGACTCAAAGGACGATCATGAGCCAATAAAGGCACGAGTGATGAAGGAATCATGGTCGACCAGTCAAAGTTTGGTGGATGTAAAAACTTCAAGAGCATCATCCCCAGTGCACCCGGTTGGAGGCTCCAGGACAGAGCTGTCGAGCCTGGGTTCTGACCTCTCCTGTTTGCACGCCAGGGTCCCTCTGCCCCCTCACTTTTTCACCTGCAGCCTCTTGCTGAGAAGCTCACTGACTGGGAGGCAGAGTTTTGGCTCCCACAAAACCGGATGTTAAGATGAAGATTTGCAAACACGCATGCCTACGAGGGCCAGGCAGACTACATGACTAAACGTAAGACACTAGAGAACAACCTACAGACTGCGAGAAAATATTTGCAAATGATGCAAAACCAACAAGAGATTAATCTCCAAAATATACAAACAGCTCATACAGCTCAATACCAAAAAAGCAAACAACCCAATCAAAAAAATGGGCAGAAGATCTAAATAGACACTTCTCCAAAGAAGACATACAGGTGGCCAAAAGCCACATGAAACGATGCTCAACATCGCTAATTATTAGAGAAATGCAAATCAAAGCTGCAGTGAGGTATCACCTCACACCGGTCAGAATAGCCATAATCAAAAAAAAAAAAAAAATCTACAAATAATAAATGCTGGAGAGGGTGTGGAGAAAAGGGAACCCTCCTGCACTGTTGATGGGAATATACACGGGTGCAGCCACTATGGAAAACAGTATGGAGTTTTCCCCAAAAAATAAAAATAGAGTTGCCATATGATCCAGCTATCCCACTCCTGGGCATATATCCAGACAAAACCATAATTCGAAAAAGATACATGCACCCCTTTGTTCACAGCAGCACTATTCACAATAGCCAAGACATGGAAACAACCTAAACGTCCATCAACAGATGAATGGATGAAGTTGTGGTACATAAATACAACGGAATACTACTCAGCCATAAAAAAGAATGAAATCATGCCATTTGCAGCAACATGGTTGGACCTAGAGATTATCATGCTAAGTGAAGTAAGTCAGACAGAGAAAGACAAATACCATACGATACCACTTATAGGTGGAAACTAAAATATGACACAAATGAACTTATCTCAGAAACAGACTCACACACATAGAAAACAAATGTATGGTTAACAAAGGGGAAAGGGGGGTGGTGGGAGGAGGGATAAATTAGGAGTTTGGGATTAGTAGATACAAACTACCATATATAAAATAGATAAACAACAAGGACCTACTGTAGAGCACAGGGAACCATATTCAATATTTTGTAGTAACCTATAAGGGAAAAGAGTCTGGAAAAGAATGTGTGTGTGTATAATGAACCTCTGTGTTGCACACCTGAAACTAACACAACATTGTTAATCAACTATACTTCAATTTTTTAAAAAAAGCTAAAAAAAAAAAATGGGAAAAAAGGACACTAGGGAGAAGTGGGGACTGAGGCAGGCTGCAGAGCACAGGCACCGTCCACAGGCATAGCTGCTGCTAAGCCCCAGCCAGCTGCTGCCCCGCAAGAAGGCAGACCCAATATCTTCAGAGCTTCAGATATTTTAAGAGAAGCCAAAATCCAGGTTTATATGTGAAATCTCCTGATATTTATTATTTGGATACTAAGCATCAAAACTTTCAACAATGTTGCGGCCAAATAAGATTCTTACATGGGCTGTTTGGCCCCTGGGCTGCTGATGGGTTTGCAAGGCATCCTGGAGAGACATCTCCAGGCCTCTCGGAGGACCAGCCTGGGACCATCAGCCTTATTTGGGAATGTTTCCCCAACGGCCTCCACGTGTAGACACCTGGCACCTAGCAGGTGCACAATGAATGTCTGTTGAAACAGTCAAGTTCCAGTGTTGGGAACTGTAAATGAGGCACCCCACCTGTGTCCCCCTCCCCACATCTCCCGGGACTCTGACTGAGGCCTGGAGACTTCAGGCTTGCCAGCTGTCACTCGGATGTAGTTTAGTGCTTTGTGGGAGCAAAGCCACGTGCCAGTATCCCTGAGCTCCCGGGATGTGGTTTGGGTGATGTAAAGCATTGCTCTCCAAGCTAGCTCACTGGACCAGCATCCTCAACCTCACCGGGGAGCATGTTAGAGATACAGAATCTCAGGCCCCATCCCAGACCCACTGAATTTGACCCAGCATCACAAGAAACCTCCAGAAAACCCTAGGTGACTCTCATGTCCGTTACGGGCTGGGAGCATTGGGGCAAGCTGTTGTTTGGCACCTGGGCTCTGGAGTAAGGTTTGCTGGTTCAGATCCGGGTGCTCGGGGAAGTTGCCCGACTTCTCTGTGTGTCTCGGTTTCCTTGAGAGAAAAATGCTGTGCCTGGCACACAGCAAGCCCTCAGCGATGCCAGCTCTGGAAACGTGGTCCTGGCAGACAAGTGAAAGCGGGTGCAGGGGCCTCAGAAGAGGGTATGTCATCTCTGGCTGGTGAGAGCCTGAGCAGCTGTAGGCAAGCATTAGGAATTTGTGTGGCCTCTCGACAAATACCTATGTCTGGACCAAACACTGACAATAGGAGAAGGCCAGGCATTCTAGGAAGGGGAGACTGTGGATGCAGGAGAGCCTTGGGGATCCGGGTTCGGAGTGTCAAATAGAGAACAGGCGAGGGCTGGGACCATATGACATCACACTGAGAGGGAGGGGGGCGACCATGGGAAAATGGGACCTAAAAGCTTTGCGGGGCGGGGGGGGGGGGGGAGGGGGTTGGAGGGGGGGGGGGAGGGAGGGGGGGGGGGGGAGGGGGGTGGGGAGGGGGGGTGTTGGAGGGAGGAGGGTACGCAGTGGGCAACCTGAAGGGTTTTGAGCAAAGGAGCGAGACAATCAGAATGACGCGATGAAAGAGGGGTTTTAAAATCCATCTGCCCCCCACCCCGCATTTGCGGTCAGGAGATTATGTACGTGCACAGATCACGCAGAAAAGTCTAGAAGGGCGCACACCTAAACGTGGGTGCCTCCGAGTACTGAGATCACCAGGATGTTTTATTGTCTTCTCCTCACTCATCTGTATCTTCTAATTTTTCTGCAAAGGACACGCATCACTTGCATAATTAAAAAAGCAATAAAAGCTGTAAATAATTAACATGCTCTCTCTTCAGGAGTTAAACTGGATGGATGTGTTTTCAACTCAGTTATTTCGAATATTTGCTGGACGCCTGGCCTTAAAAAAGGCACCACTGAAAAACACACAGCCGGTAGACTGATGGGGAAACACATTGAGTCCTTTAACCATGAAACTCTAGACCCCAGTTCCTATACAGGACTCTGTCTCTCTCTCTCTCCCTGGAACACAGAGATGCCTTTTGAATCCCTTGTGAAGCTTTCCTTGTGGGTTTATTGAAATCGCAGTTTGCAGTTCCTGACACTGTGGGCACACGGGGAAATGACAGAGGTGGCCACACGCCCTACCTTTTGGAGCGGATCCTCAGTTGTTTCTGCTTGCTGCTCCCACGAGGCATCTTTGCCCTCCTATGAGGCCATCCTTTCTTCCGTTCTGGCTCAGACATCCACTCCTGGGATGGCATCCCTGGGGCTGTTGGGTCGGAGAGCTGAAAATACCAGGCACGCAGGCGTCATATTGCTCACAGCCCTCACGGTGGGAACAACACAGAAGGGTTCTCTCTCTGCAGACAGGATGCCTGTCTGGGGAAATCGGGCATCGAAATGCTGCATTGCCAAATGGTCTGCGCATTGCTGGGCGGAACCTTCTGGAATCCTGCCTGGGCTGGATCCACAGAAGAAAAAGCCCAGACCTTTGGTGATAACTGGAGGTCTAGGGAACACCGTGGCCGGCTCCTTTCCCTCCTCCAGGAATGCCCACACCCAGTACCTGATGGCCTTGTGGAGGAAGGAGGCTAAGCTGGGCCTTGGATTCGCCCTCTCTCAGGCCCAGCACACTCTTTCTTAACCCCCCACTCTAGGGATAAAGGCAGTGTTACCATGAGAACAGCCTTCAAGCTCTGGGACACAGACCCTGTTGTTCCACACGATTAAGTTACAACTGAGGCTGCAGGATCCTCTCCAGTCACCCTGGCCCAGGACATCCCAGAGCAGGACAACACCCTCAATTATACAATCCAGATGCATGGAGTCGCTCTCAAGATGGGACTACAGGGACTTCCCTGGCGGTCCAGAGGTTAAGACTCTGCGCTTCCAATGCAGGGGGTGCAGGTTTGAGTCCTGGTCGGGAAATAAGATCCCATATGCCGCGAGGCACGGCCCTACCCCCCCCCAAAAAAAGATGGGACTATAAATTTATTTAATCACCAGTGAGAACTCTCTAGAGCACCCAGCTCCTTTCCCGTTTTGCCACTGCTTCCAGGAAACTCAGGGGTCAGTTGAATCTGACCATAGCAGCTATTTTCTCTGGAGTCCCTGGTATGATAACTGTCTCCTTTTAAGAGTTTTTGTTTGGAGTCTATCTCTCAAAAAGGGTTTCTGATTTATAAGCTCCCCTGACCAACGTTTCATTTTTACTGCTCGCCTCTGCTACCAGGAAGCTCAGCATTAAGGTTTATGTCTAGTTATGAAAAATCTCACCCAGAGTCTTGGGTACAGTCATTCTGTCCTTTGAAACCTTTTCTCATGATTTTCTTTCATTTTATTTCACATGTTGCGCCTTTTTTCTCTCCCTTGGGAGCAGGCTGAGAAGATGTTATAATGGACAGCAGGTGCTACACAGGATGGCTTCATACTTTCTCTCCATCGCTATAAGTCCTGCCTGCCAAGCATCCTCCCTCAGCCCCCAGGGCCCTGGGACAAAGCTAGCTGGGTGTTACCTTCAATGTCTGCGTCTGCCCTCCTCCTCCAGGGCTTATCCTGGTCCATCTTCCAGACACTGCTTTGCTCGCTGGCTGGGCGTCAGGACCCTCACCCGGGAGACTGCCAACAGGGAAATGCAGCGCCAGGTGCACGGAAGCGTCCTTTTCCTTCTGTTCCAGCGGCAGAGGGAGGCTGCGGCTCAGGCAACACCATGTGAGCCGGGGCTCAGCCCTCAGCGAGGGGAAAGGCCCCTGGGCCCTGCAGCTCCCGGGGGTCTCCGCGGGCGCACACGAGGCCAACTCAGGCCAGCCCGGGGGTGGGAGGGCCGAGAGTGAGGGGCCGGGCTGGCGGGAGCAACCGGCACTGAGCCCCGCTAGTGGCCCTGAAGAAGGGCCCCACGGGGCGCTCTCGGGAGGCCCCCCCAGCTCCCCAGTGGATTCCCAGGGATGGAGGACGCCCCCAGAGGGCCTGGCTCGCGCCCAAGTGCTGCTGCTGCAGGCTTGTTGGGTGTCATGGGTCCCACTCCTCCAAGAGTCACACGTTGGCGTGGATGGGAAGGAGACTGCCCCCCTGGGGACCCCAGCTGCTGGGGTGCCAGTGTCCAAGGCTTTCTCCTCTCCCTGCACCCCCTTTCTCCTGTCGCACGGCGTGGACCAGCTGGGGTCCTCCCCGAAGCTGTCTGCTCCACCAGGGGCCTGGCCTGAGGTTGAGCTGGGAAGCAGGGGGGCCTCCAGCCCCGACTCCATAAAGGATGCCCGTTCCTCAGGTCCCCCTCTCCTGCAGAGAAGGCCCTGGCCTTGGTCCGGCTTCTGGGGGATGGGCGGCGGGTGACGGGTCTCTCCCTGGGGTAACCTGAGGAGGTACTGTGGGGGGAAGGCCATGTCCACTGGGGCAGCGAGGACGCCGGGGGCCCGAGGCTGCAAGGCCAGCTGGGAGGGACACCCGGGGGCTGCAGCTGTAGCACGCAGCCGAGGCTCCATGTCCCGAGGCCCTGCCCGCCTCAGGGCCCCAGCCCTGCCCCTCGCTGTGCAGTCGCCGCCTCCAGGCAGCCCCCCTGGCTTTTCCCCAGGGTCACTGTCCTGGTTCTGAGGGGGTGGGGAGGCAGCGTGCACGGGGCCCCCCGGGGTCTCTCCTCCTGCTCCCGGGGGCTCCTGGCAGCTTAGCACCTCCACCTTCAGCTTCTTCCTCTCTGAGGGGAGCTTGACCTCTGTGGGCTGGGGTTCCCCAGAGCTCCCACCCGGCCGGCTCGGGACCACGTGGGCCTGCTGACAGGTCTCCTTGGCGTCCCCTCCGCCACCCCGGGTGCCACCTTCCAGCTTGGGGTCTGGCAGACCCCGCCTGGGAGCCTCTAGGTCACCTCCTTTGGGAGGACTGGGTGCTGGGAGCAGCTGACACCCCAGCTCCAGCCTCCCGTTTGGGGGAAGCAGAGGGCTCTTGCTGCCCAAGCAGAGGGGTCCTCTGCAGCTGAGGGCGGGGCGTGAGGCAGCCCTGTTCACACGGGGCTGGTCCCTGCCTCCGGCTCTGGCCACTGTCTCCCTCTGCTTGGGGGGCTCAGTCACCAAGAGGCCCTCCCGGGCCGGTGGGCTTGCGCAAGGCGCTGGCCTGGCCTCCACGGCAGTGTCCTCGGGGCCCGGGGGCCTCCTCCCATCCTGGGAGGGGGCTGCACGCCCGCCACCCCCTGCATCCTGCTGGAGAGGACAGTCCAGCTCGACCCCGCCGCCCGCTGTGACCTCCCTAGCCTTCTTGCCTCCGTGGTGGCCAGCTTTCGTTTTCTGGTAGATGCTCTTGAACGTGTCCTTCCCGTACACCTGCCACTTCTCCTGGGAGAACATCTTCAGCCTCCTCTGGCCGCGTTGCTTACCAGCCGCCTGGCCCTGGCCAGCCTGTCCCTCCCCCGCAGCCGGTCTCTTTCCATCCGGGTCCTCCGCCGGGGCCGAGGCGTCTCCCGTCGGGGGACACTGCAGGTCCTCCACCGCAGCCTGTCTGACCAGGGCCCGGGGGTGACTGCCAGGGACATCGGCCAATCGGGCGGGGGCAGGCCTGGGGCTCAGAGCCTTCTGCCTCCGGGACCAGGCGTCCCGGGGGTCCGGTGGCTCCGGCCACGTCCCCGTGCCCTCGACGAAGGGCAGCGAGTTGCTCCTGGTGACAGGCACACATTCGGTGCCGGTGGAGAGCTGCGTGGGGACCGAGTGGAAGAAGAGGGGCCGTGCCCTGTCTGGGGGCGCGCAGGTGGAGCGCGCGGCACGGAGGGCGGCAGGCGTCCTCCTGGGCTCCGGTGGCCGCAGGTCGAAGTGGAAGGAGTCCTTGTAGGTGTAGGGCATGGGCAGGTCGATGCTGCCCTGCTTGGACAGGACCGTCTTGCGGGGCCGCACGTGGGCCAGCTGGGGGTCGTCCACCACAGCCTGGTTGTGAGAGATGAGCCTGGCGATGCGCTCCTCCAACCGCCTCTTTTCCAGCTCCAGGCCGGCCGCCCGCTCCGCGCGCCCGGGCCCCGGGCCTCCCTCACCCTCAGACTCGGCGCTGTGCTCCGACAGGCTGTGCAGGGGGCTGCCGGCGGCCGGCGGCTGCTCTGCGCTGTCCGAGCGGGACAGGTAGCCCGAGTCGGTGCTCTCGCACTTCCGCAGCCGACCCTCCGAGGGCTTGGCATCCCCGGGCTTCTCCACCTGCTGCTGCTGGAGCACGGAGCCCGGCCTGCTGGCCGTCGGGGACCGCTGCTCCGGCAACTTCCTCCTCGGCTGCGAGCTGGCCAGCGGGAGCCGGGGGGCAGAGTCTACAGGGGCCTCCCTGACATCGAACGTGGATACTGGACAGGCAACAGCGTCCATCTTCAGGTCCAGGCTCTTGGCAACCGGGGACAGATGCGCCCTGGGCAGCAGGCAGTGCCCAGCAGACTGGGCGCCCGGAGAAAGGGGTCTCTCTGATCGTGCCCCGTGGGTCCCGGAAGGCACTCCGGCCTTGTCCCCCTCCTCCGGGAGGCTGCTTCCCCCGCCATCCGAGGACAGCCTGGAGTTGTTGAGGTGTGTCTGGGTCCGTCTGTGCTTGTACAAGTTGCTCTGGGTCTTGAAGGCGATGCCGCAGGTGGCGCACGGGAAGGGCCTCTCACCCGTGTGGGAGCGGATGTGCTTCTCCAAAACGCTGGGCTTCAGGCAGTCCCGGCCACAGTGCGGGCACAGGTACTTGCCGGCGTTGCGCACCTTGCCGGGGCTGCCCAGCATGGGCCCCAGGCCCGGTGACAGGATGGGCAGAGCACCCACGAAGTTCACGGCGAGCGCTGGGGCCGCTGGCTTCCCCACCTGGGTGGGACCGGGCCCTTCAGGCTGCAGCAGGGGGCTGAGAATGAAGGGCACGCTGCCCCCGTCCACGCTGCCTGACACGAGGGGGGCACGCGGCTGGAGGCCCCCTGGAGGCACTGTGTGGTACAGTGGGATGGGCAAGGCCTTCAGGAACAGGGTGGGGGCCAGGCCCTGCTCTGGGGGCAGGATGATGGGGCCCAGGGTCAGGTGAGGCGAGGCCTGCCCACCTGGGGCCCCTGGGGGGCCAGAAGCAGGAGCTGGCTGGTCCCTGGCAGGCAAGGCAGGGCAGGTGACTTCCGGCGCCTCCATCCCACATCGTCTGGGTGGCCCAGGATGCCGGGCAACCTGTGAGCAACAACCGAACTTTACTATGGGTAACTCTCTTCTCTCATCATAAACTCTTCCCTACCCCCCATCAGGCAGTTCGTCACCTCCACTGAAGCCACAACAATCTCCCAAGAAAAATACCCTTATCCCCATATAAGGAAAGGGGAAACTGAGGCTCAGGGAGTGGAAGTGACTCGTCATGCAGCTAACATGTGGCAAAGCAGGTTCAGACCCGGGTCTGTCTCAATCCTATCTCATTTAATATGCCCAAAGGGAATTCTCTTTTTTTTTTTTTTTTACATCTTTATGGGAGTATAATTGCTTTACAATGTTTGCTGTACAACAAAGTGAATCAGCTCTATGTTTACATATATCATCATATCCCCTCCCTCTTGGGCCTCCCTCCCACCCTCCCTATCCCACCCCTCTAGGTGGTGACAAAACACTGAGCTGATCTCCCTGTGCTATGCGGCTGCTTCCCACTAGCCATCCATTTTACATTTGGGAGTGTGTATATGTCCATGCCACTCTCTCACTTCTTCCCAGCTTCCCCTTCCCCCTCCAACCGTGTCCTCAAGTCCGTTCTCTACATCTGTGTCTTTATTCCTGCCCTGCCACTAAGTTCATCAGTACCGTTTTTTTTAGATTCCATATATATGTGTTATCATACAGTATTTGTTTTTCTTTCTGACTTACTTCACTCTGTATGACAGACTCTAGGTCCATCCACCTCACTACAAATAACTCAGTTTTGTTCCTTTTTATGGCTGAGTAATATTTCAAAGGGAATCCTTTTTTGGGGGGGGAGTTATCTTTTTTTTTTTAACATCTTTATTGTAGTATAATTGCTTTACAATGGTGTGTTAGTTTCTGCTCTATAACAAAGTGAATCAGTTATACATATACATATGTTCCCATATCTCTTCCCTCTTGCATCTCCCTCCCTCCCACCCTCCCTATCCCATCCCTCTAGGTGGTCACAAAGTACCAAGCTGATCTCCCTGTGCTATGTGGCTGCTTCTCAAAGGGAATTCTTGATTCTTCCCCTGCACACAGGTACATGGCAGGCTTGTCACCATTGTCTCCCAACACCCAGCGCAGTGCCCTGTGCAGAGGAGACACTCAGAAAATGTGCTGACTTCACGAAAAAGAAAAATTGTGTAGCTCAGCAAGGTCCTCAAAGTCCACAGTGATCCCATGAGCTGGGGCAAGTCCCTTTCCTCAGATGGGACTCAGTTTCCAGGTCTGTAAAATGGGCACCTCCCTAGGGCCCTTCCCACTCTGGAGTTCTGAGTCTCCGCTACTGGATTAGGACAATAAGGAAGAGAACTGACCTGAGGGGACACTTACTAGATTCAGCAAATGAAAACACAAGATTCCTAGATAAATTTGAATTTCAGATAAACAATGCATACTTTTTTTTTTTTTTTTTGGCGACACACGGGCCTCTCACTGTTGTGGCCTCTCCCGTTGCGGAGCACAGGCTCCGGACGCACAGGCTCAGCGGCCATGGCTCACGGGCCCAGCCGCTCCGCCGCATGTGGGATCTTCCCGGACCGGGGCACGAACCCGAGTCCCCTGCATCGGCAGGCAGACTCTCAACCACTGCGCCACCAGGGAAGCCCTGTATACTTCTTTAGTATATGTATGTCCCAATTCTTGTATGGGTCTTGCTTACACTAGAAAATTATGCATTATTTACCTGGAATCAAAATGTAACTGAGAGGACTTCCCTGGTGGCACAGTGGTTAAGAATCTGCCTGCCAATGCAGGGGACACAGATTCAATCCCTGGTCCAGGAAGATCCCATATGCACAGAGCAACTAAGCCCGTGCGCCACAACTACTGAGCCTGTGCTCTAGAGCCCACGAGCCACAACTACTGAGCCTGTGCTCTAGAGCCCATGAGCCACAACTACTGAGTCTGTGCTCTAGAGCCCACGAGCCACAACTACTGAGCCCGCATGCCACAACTACTGAGGCCCGTGCACCTAGAGCCTGTGCTCTGCAACAAGAGAAGCTGCTGCAATGAGAAACCCACTCAAAGCAATGAAGAGTAGCCCCCAGTTGCCGCAACTAGAGAAAGCCCACGTGCAGCAATGAAGACCCAATGCAGCCAAAAATAAATAAATAAATAAATATTTTAAAAATGTAACTGAGCATCCTGTATTTTATCTGGCCACCCCAGCAGGAAAAAAGCACTTCTTTAGCTTCAAGATCAGGCTTGGGTCTCTGCTCAAAGGTGGGGCTTCCAAAGCCCCTCCGAACCCAACAGAGACACAGTTGGTTCCCTCTCAGCCAGGGGTAACAGCTGGGCAAATGCTAGGCAAGGGAGCAAGAGAGACCCAGCCATGCTCTTCCAACTGTGGGAGGGAAAGCCAGATGCAATGAGAAAATGTAAACAGGCCCAAGGCTACAGAATTGGGGGACCTCTAGACCCTACACCCTCAGGTGCCCATCTCCCAGGAGCTCCATTGGTTGAGTTCCACTTCAACCAATCCCCAGATTAGCTCCTCAAGAAAAACAAATCCAAATTCCAGCCTTAGCAGCAAGACTGTTCAATCAGGGAAAGGTAGAAGTCATGGCAGCTCATACCAGCTCACACTGGCTCACAAGAGCTGATTGTTAACTTTTCAGAAATTTTGCAAGCTAGTTGTTAAATGTGGCCATAATTAAAAGTTAAATTATATAGACTTACAATTCGATAAATTATATTAAAAACAAAGTTACTACAACTGAATATTCACATGCAAAAGAATGAAGTTGAATCCCTACCTCACACCACATACAAAAATTGACTCAAAATTGATCAAAAACCTAAATGTAGGAGCTACAACTACAAAACTCTTAGAAGAAAACATCGGGGTAAATCATGACCTTGGATTTGACATTGGATTCTTAGATATGATACTAAAAGCAAAATCAATTAAAAGAAAAAGATAAATTGGACTTCTTCAAAATAAAAAAAAAACTTTTGTGCATCAAAGGACACTATCAAGAAAGTGAAAAGACAACTCACAAAATGGGAGAAAATATTTGCAAATTGTATACATGATAAATCCAGAATATATAAAGAAACTTCTAACTCAATAACAAATAGACAAGCAACTCAATTTAAAAATGAGCAAAGGACTTGAATAGACATTTCTCCAAGGCAGATATACAAAGGCCAAAAACACATGTAAAGATGTTCAGTATTATTAGTCATTAGAAAATGTAAATCAAAACCACAGTATGACTTCACATAAACTAGCATATTAATAATAAACTGAAAATAACCAATGTTGGTGAGGATATGGAGAAATTTGAACACTTAACCACTGCTAGTGAGAATGTAAAATGATGCAGCCACTGTGGAAAACAGTTTGGCTGTTCCTGAAAAAGTTAAACACAGAACTACCACATGACCCAGAAATTCCGCATCTATGTATATACCCAAAAGAATTGAAAATAGGTATTCAAATAAAAACGTGTACATAAATGTTGATAACTGCACAATGCAACAGAGCCAAAAGGTGGAAACAACCCAGATGTCCATCAACTGATGAATGGATAAACAAATTGCAGTCTATCTGTACGATGAGATGTTATTTAGCCATAAAAAGGAATGACGTATTTATACAGGCTACATCATGGACGAGCCTTGGAAACATGATGCTGAGTGAAAGAAGCCAGTCTCAAAAGGCCACACTGTATGATTCCTTTTACATGAAAAACCCAGAAGAGGAAAATTCATACACACAGAAAACAGATGACAGTGGTTGCCAGGGGTGGAAAGGGAGAGGGAGGTGTGAATGCCTAACCGGGAACAGAGCTTCCTTTATGAAAGGAAGTGATGAAAATGTTCTGGAACCACATGCAGTCAGTAGTTGCATGTACATTATAATGTACTAAATGCCACAGAACTGTACACTTTAAAATAGTTAAAATGGTGACTTTCATGTTATGTGAATTTTATGTCAGTAGTAGAAAAGGAACTAAATACACCAAGCTCATCACTTACTAATTATTTTATTACATCTTAGCATGATCAGTGCTCTGGACGTTACTCACGTGGATTGCGTCGGGATGGTGGAAATACTATGTAACAGGGTGGCACTCCACATCTCCACCTCCTGGCAATTTTAGGTCCAGTAACGTCACGTTCATAGCTTGCGATTGGCCGTGGTGGGAGTATTTACACCACAGAAATTGGCAAACGCTACAGTCAGTCCTTTTTTTCTTTTTTATCCCAAGACCATCATTCCCATTCTCTATTCCTCATAAACCTGTCTACATTAGAGATCTCACAGATTTGAGACCTTATAAATTTTTAAGGAAAGATTTAAAGACAGAAATCCCTAGAGATGGGTAGGAGCTATTAGAATTCCTAAGCACTGATGTGAATGGAAGACAAGGCTTCCCTCAAGCTGAGAAAGTTCGAGATGCTTCCCAGGGGAACCATCAGACCCGCCTTCCTGTCCCTGCTCACCAGGCTTGCTGGTGGACACCCCCGAGACCCAGCTCCCAGGTCACTTGGGCACAGCTCCTGGAAGGATCAGATGAAATAACGTGTGAGAAAACACCGAGGGTGGCGTCAGGCACGGAGGAAGTGCTTGGCTCAGTTGAGTTTCCAGTGATACGCCATAATATTTTGAACTATTAACTAGCGAATCCTCCCCACCCCACCTTCCCTCCTACCCCTTGTCTTTTCCCCATCAGTCAATGCAGCTGGCTCCCTTCAGTGCCTCCGGGAAGGGATGCCGTTCCCAGGTGCAATTCCCAAGAAAGAAGGTCATTATAAGGATTCTAGTTGGGAGGTGATTTCAGGCAATGCTAGCAGGGGAGCGGGAAAGCTGGGGTGAAGGATGCTTTAAAGAGTGTGTCATCAAGCCAGTCCCCACCGATGGCAGCTGGAGCTTACTAAACTCGGCTGGGGACCAAGAGATCACATAGAACACGTTACCCCACAGGGGACTGAGGGAGCAATGGTGTGCTGGCATGTCCAGCTGGCCAAGGGGACACACCCAGCGGGCTCTG